CCCTGACCCGGCACTCTACCCTTGCCGGGCGCTGACCTGCTTGTGACCTACAGCACGGACCGTGACATCTGCGTGAACCCGGCCGGCAACCGCGCCAAGTTCACTGTCTATCAAAATAACGAGATACGGTGGCCTGAGCACCGATAATTACCACAGGAAGGCTTTATTATCTCCCCAGCTTTGTATTCCCCAGCCATCAGCTCGAAAAGAATCAAATGGTAAAGAGTGAAAGGGATAATTAAAAACATCTTGGAAGGGGGTCAAGAAATTAACAGCCTAATATGAACAAACTTTGATTACAAGTAACAATTATTACACTTCATTTGTAAATGCTCATGTTTATCTGCAAACAAAATCAGTTTCGAGGTTGGTTTTTTTTTTTTTTTTCACTAGATTCATGTTACATTTTTCAGCGGGTGGCTATGGGACTCGTTAGTGCTCGGGGTAATTTTTAAGTGCGCTGCTGGAGGAGCCCCTGCCCTCCCGAACCCGGTGCTGGGCACTGCAGGCGCAGCCCTGGCCGCAGCCCTGCCCGCGGTGGGAGCCTGTGTCGCCCGCGGGTCACAGCCACGCCAGCAGCTCCTGCTAATTAAAGTTAGCCATTGCCACTTGCAGCCACCACCTACTGATTTCACCTCTGATAGCCAGAAAGATTCACCTTTCGGTACAAGGTCAGGAGGGGCAGAGGCTCTGGTTCACTACGGGATGGACCTGCCAACAGCACTTAACTCAGCCTTGCGATTCAACCTCTTCCAGACTTGACCTGTCACATTTGGGAGCCACATTTCTGCCTCAGGTAGTGTTGTGCTCGCTGCGCAGCCCTCTGACAGCGAGCGGCAGCGCACTCCCCGCTGCAGTGCCCCAGCACAGACGTGCAAGGGCGACTGGCCAGGGTGAGGTCATTTGTAGCCTGGCATTGAAGCAGGACGATGACAGAGATTCAGGGGACGAGGGAGCTCCCCAGAGCCTTTCCAAAGGGACTCTGTCCTCGTGCCACATTTCTGCCCTCGCAGGTCAAGCTGCAGCTGGTTCTTCACACAGAGAACACCGTGCCACCAGGCCCAGGATGGGACAAGGCAGACGGTTTCCCCCACTGCTTCCATGCAGGACAGTGTGTAGCAGTAGAACAAGGACCTGGCCCCAGCTCTGTTCTCAGTGCACAAGCAACAGGACTCACTTCATTTTACATGGGAGAGAAATATCCCGTGTCTCAGTGAGGCAGGTGGTACTCAAAAGCCACCTAAAAAGGTGCCCTCAGTACCTAGGCTTAGTGCCAGGTACCATCCCCTGGATGGACCTACAGAGCTGGTGTCCTGGCACTTTTCCTGGCAAAGCTGGGCTGTGGGAGGTGACACGGTCAGTCTGGCCAGCCAGCCACCATGGGGCCCGTGTCACCTTGCAAATGCCCTCTGGCAATGTGAACAGCATTATCAGGAACAGAGGACTTTCTACAAGAAATCAGACATATTCAGAAATATCCATTTTCTAAATGTTTATTCCCCAAAGCCCACCCCCCCTACTTCAGTCCTGGTCAGGCTGTGGCTGGGGAGTGCATCACGGCAGACCCCGAGCAGCAGCATGCTGCTTAGGCACGACATACACAGCTACTACTACTGGGTGAATAAGACACGACCTCTTTGTGCTGGCTCTAATGGGAAGTGCAGGAATAAGATTAAATATTTACAATAAAAACCACTTTACACCCTATTACTCTAGCTACAGCTGATGCCATGGATTGGGCAGCCCTGGCCTGTGTTTTCCTGTAAAGCCCCCACCCTCATCTTCCCTCTTTTTACATCTAAAAAGCTACAGTGTGCAGGGTGTTCATCCTGCCTCTCCTATAAAATACCCGCAGGAGATAACCCTGGGACAGAAAAGCGCGGGGAGCCTTAGCTGCAGGGCTGGGAGTTTTGCTCCCCATACTCAGTGGCTGGAGACCTGTGTGGGGCAGGCGCTGGCTGAGTCCCCATGGTGGAAGCTCCTTGTCAGCAGCTTCGGCAGGTTTTTGCCCCTGGGCTGGGTCTGAGGCTCACCCCTGTGCTCAGGAGCAGGACTCTGCAAGACCCTCCCTACTGGCTTGCAACACCAGGAGGGGAAAAACAAAAAGGCCTTTGGGGTTTTGCCTTGCAGTGACCCAGTGCCATACCCAGCCTGGGGCAGCAGAGACCTGCCCTGGTAGCCATGGAGGGGCACCGACTCCAGGACTGTGTTGGGGCAGTGTACCCCTGGCTCAGGGCTCACTGCCGCGTCCGGGCTGCAAGGGGTGGAAGTAGAGCTGCAGCCCGTCGTCAACAGGGTGCACAATGGGCACGGTCTGCATAGCAGGGTAGCCGGGGGTGGCCAGCCCCCAGCTGGCCGTGCTGACCAGCTCGATGGCCAGCAGCTTGAGGATGGCCTGCGCCAGCTCCTTGCCAATGCAGCTCCGTGCCCCGCCTCCAAAGGGGATGTAGTGGAAGCGGCCCACGGCCTCCGTCCGGGCTGCACCAAAGCGGTCTGGGTCAAAGCCACTGGGGGGGCTCTGGTAGACGGCAGCCGTCTCGTGCGTGTCACGGATGCTGTACATCACGCTCCAGCCTTTGGGGATCTGGTAGCCCTGAGAGGGGGGAGAGAAGAGGAGAGGAGCGTTACATACCTGTGCAGCCAGCTGTGCTAGCAGAGCGTGAGCAGAGGCTGCCTGGGACAGCTGGGCTGGGACCCACGGACATTGCCAGGTGCCACCTTTCCCTGAGCTACGCTGCCAAGGATCACCACTGTGCTGGACACAGGGTGCTTGCAGGCAGTGGCAGGCAGCAGCTGCTAGCAGCCCACCAGTGTGCGGGGCACTTACATCCAGCTCGAAAGTCTGCAGAGCCGTCCTGTAGCCTCCGGAGACGGGGGGGAGCACCCGCAGCACCTCCTTAATCACACAGTCCAGGTAGTGTAGGCGGCTCAGCTTCTCCAGGCTGATGTCTGAGGGGTAGCGACAGCTCTGCCCCGACGCTGCCTGGAGCTGGGGGCCAGCACAGGGACTGCTCTGGTGGAGGGTGTGCCTTGAGAGAGCACAGGGCTGGAGGGAACCTTCCTCCGTTGGGCCTGGGGGTCGGCTCTTGTCCTCACAAGCATCTTTTGCTATGGGGAGGAGAAGTGACTTCTCGCTGTCCCTGCTCTGGGCAGGCAGGGTGTCCGGGCAGGGTCCCGCAGGGCAGCACTCACACTGCTGGTACAGCTCATGGGACACCAGCTCCTGCCTTATTTTTTCGATCACTGAAGGATGCTTCAGTAACAGGAGGATCAGAGAGGTGCTGGCACTAGCCGTGGTGAAAAAAGCAGCAAATATGAGCTCAATCGCTGACTCCTGGGAGAGGAAGGAAGGTGACAAGTTTGGATGCCATTTTAAATTGGTGGTGATTGAATTTTCAGGTTGTTCTCACCTTTTGTAGATTTTGTCCCCGTGCAGAGGGCCCTGGCCCCACCTCTGCTCTCCACAAACCCACACCCACCCTGGTTTGGCAGGGACCAAAACAAGATGCCCTTGTTCTTCCATTTCTGTATGAACTGGCCCCCCACTCGCCAAGTCACTGATGGAGAAACACAACCGAGATGAGTACACATCACCTCTAATCCAGCCTCTCTGAGCTTCCCCACACAAGATTTACAAATGTTAAAGGAGCATTTTAACATGTGTTTTAGCATACTGGGTGAAGTTCATTTCAAGCATTATGCTTTTTACCTTTATCTGCCAGTTTCCCTTTGTGCCCAGCTCTTACCTTTCTGCCCAGCCAGGTGTTATAAAGGTTGCATGTTTATGCATAAATCCTAGACGCACTGGCAGATCGAATGGGTTGTATTTGATCCATCTCCAGTTATAATCGACCATTTGCTTGTCTGGGAGGGGACTCAAATCAACAGAGTTGAAAGCAGAAGTATCTCCCTGCTATAGCAGGTCAGCCTGAGAGGTGCTGTAGCTGGCAGGGAGCTCTCCTGCAGGGATGTACACACCAGGCAAAGGACTTGCTCATTTTTCAAGCTTTACAGCCTGAAGCACAGCAGTGTTCTTCATAGCTCCATAGAGCAGGTGTCCATAACAAGTTAGAAAGTTAACCAGCTACAGACGGATGACAGCACAGTCAAATCTGTAATATGTGCCTTGTCCTGGCTCATGGATCTCCACACAGCCTCCCAGTCGTTCCGGGACTGTCTGCAGGGTCTGTATGGCACAGCACATGCCAGGTTGCTGCGGGCTTTTTGCAGCACCCTGTGATCAACTTTTGGAAGTTGTTTCCCAAAAGTTAACGGTTACCTGGAGCTCGGTTATGGCATGTCATGTCTCTGACAGCAAACATAATGCTCAAACTCACAGCACCATCTGAAGGTGCCAGCGGCTCTGTGGCACTGGGCTGAGAATACTGAGGCCAGGGGCCAGACCCAAAAGCCACAGGAGAAGCCCAAGGCAGGAGCACAGCAAGCTGCCACCCTGGGAGGGGCTGGGACCTGGTTGGCACTACTCAGCACTAATCGCTCCAGCCCAGGGGCAAAGCAGAGCAAAACCTCCCAGGGAAACAGCGCAGTTTCCTTTCATGCAGCTACGTGTCTGGATTTTAAACTGTTCTGACACAGCTGGTTTCTGGAGAGCTGAAGCCAAAAACACAGGGGAGGACACCTGAAGCCTGAAGGTACCTGGAGCCAAGTATGGTAAGTTCGAGGGTAGTGTAAGAAGGGTTACTCTTTGCTACTGTCCCCAGCGCCACACATTGGCTGGACTAGAGGCTTTTGCCAAAGTGCAGCTCTCAAGGGCATCTTTCAGCTGAAATAAAACCTCCAAAATAACAGATCTCTCTTGACCCCTATCACACCTCCTGCAGGCGTTAGCAGGAATTTTTACATTCACAAGGTAGCAGACCCAGATGAAAAGAAATCTCTTAGTTCCACCACCTGCAATTAAAACCCAAGACATTTCAATACAATGCCAGGAATTAGGGCAGGCTCTGCAATTTAAAATAACAGCCCTTAGGACTTCCTGCATCAACCCCTGACAGTGTTGCTACATAAATTGTGACACTGAGCTGCTGACTTTCCCTCCCTGCTTTCAAGGCCAACATAACTGGTGACTGGGAGGCAGCATCTTCCCACAGCATCGTCAGTACTGTGCCTGTGCTACAGCCTGACCCCCCCATCCTGGGAGGCAGGACCAGTGGTGTTACAGTTCCACCCGCCCAGCCAGTGACAGCACTGTCATGTACAACGAGGTTTTCTTCATCCTTCCAAAGTTTCAAGTGTTTTAAACCAGTACTTTTGGCAAAGTGATATCTTTTAAATGAGCTTTACATTTCAAGGGTCCTGCTGAGTTCATGCCAGCAATGTAAATCACAGAGTATTTAGGAAAGTTTCTGACAAAAAGGTCCTTCAAAATAATTTGAACAAAAAGCAAATTAGTAACTAGTGTGTGCCAGTGTTTGGAGTGTCTCTCAAAGTCAGATATATCCACGACTCTGAGACACCTTTGGACTTTTTACCCAATTACACCATTTCACTGGATGGGAGCCCTACTACTGTTTTGTTAGAGTGGAGAATACTGCCATAATTGCAAGCATAGGCAGTATGGTTTGCAAGTCATTTTGTTAAATATAAACAAGGTAGAAATTTTCTAACTGTAAAGGTACAGGACAGCATAAGAATATACTATAATTTGAATCAGCTAGCCTGAGGTCACTGCCATGTCACTCCACTTTTAATATCCCCTTATTCCTACTATTAGTGTCCATTTGTGGTCAGAGGCAGGGACATGATGAGAGATCATGTAATTGTTCATGTGTAATATCCATATGAATACTAACAGAGATTAATCAATCACTTTTGAATCTGGCAATTGTTTTTTAAAAATAATGATAATAAAACCCAACATTTTGAGAATAAATAATAAATAATTATAACAAATTTACTTTAAGAATATATGCTAGTTCTAATTGTAGCTAATAGTTGCTTTAAAGTCTTTCAAATTTTTTAGATTTAGAGATTACACGTTACAAAATACTTATAAAACAGTAGTCTTTAGATAATTTCCTTTAAAACCAAAATAAACATTAAAACTGTGTATGTTCAATACTTTTAAACTATATTCAAACACTTCTAAACTATATTCAGCTGCTGTACCCATGCAAAACTGATTCAGAACTTGTTACATAAATGCAATGCCATCTGTCATCCACTGACACCAAGTGACCCCAGAGCTATGAATGATGCAGTACTAATGACAATTTTTTCCCAAGATTTTTGGCAAAATACTCTTCACATTCAGTTGGTAGTTTTGGCTCAGTAAGGACTACTGGGTTCATCCCTAAGTCACAGCAATGCATGATGTTGCATCATAGCAATCCACAAGCTAGATGATCTAATTAATGACGAGGTGATAGGGAATGACCCGGAGTCCATCGTTCCATCCCTGGGCCCATTTTGATGTATTGTCTCAGAGACTTCTGGGCTCGCAGCCCTGAGGACATGATCTACATGCCGCACTATGCTAGATGCTGGGGGAGGTTTGAGGAACACACAACTAGCTCTAAATATTTCCAAGATAGGACCTGGGAGGTTATCGAGTGCCCACTGACATCCAGAACCTTGGCAGAGCCGCGTAACCCTAACAGCACCTTAAGGCAGGCTGAAGCCCGGGGGCCATGAAGAGGAAAGGCAGAAGAGGCATTTATTCCCGTTTTAAATACCGGCTCGCTTCTAATGCAGAGACACCATCCTCCTAGAGGGTATGAGCATGCCGAGACCAGGCTTTCTCGCTTGCACTGGAGATGGTGTCCTCAGAGTTCGTAAGAGGAGGGCGGGAGCCAGCAGCTGCTGCTGGGTCCCTGCACAACCCTCCTCCTGCCCCTCAGCCCAGGTCTCTCAAACAGCCACCAAGCTGGAAGGGACACTGCGAGAGGGGTTCTCCTTACCTTTAGCTCCTGCATGGTGAATTCTTTGCCGTGCTCCTTGGCACTGTTTATTATGAAATCCAGAGCATCGCTGTGATCTTCTGGGCTGCTTCTCTGCAGTTTCTCCTGTATAGCCTTCTCCATAAACTCATGTAGCATGTCCCGTGCTTTGATTCCCTGCAGGAGGCAGACACAGTTCAGGAGAGCCTTAGGAACCGCCCCCCTCTCCAAAGAGACCGGGGGGACCCCAAGTGTGTCAATCCTCAATCCCAGGATCTGTAACGGCAAGAACTGCTTAATCTGTTGCCCAGCCTCAGAGCCTTGCAAGAGGCAGCAGTTTGGGGGGAACTGCTGCAAATCCTGTTGCCTTGCTGCTGTGAATCAAATACAAGTCCTAAAAAGCACTCTGAGAAGAAAAGACAGCAGTAAACCCACGATACTGAGTCCAGCGGCATCTGCACTGAACAAACCCACAGTCATGTCAGGTCCAAAGGGACAAGAAGAGGTAACTTAATAAAACTGAGTCCAAGCAGCAAGGCACATCTGAGACAGGAACAAATCAGTGGCTTTACCAAGGTATAGTAGATAAAGGCACATTAATCACACCGAGCTCATCTCCAGAGTTGCATTGCACTCCTGTGCAGCAAAACATTTAGGCAAGATCTCAGCAAGTCAAGTGATCAGCAATCTCTTTGCAAAGTGGGATGGATGGAATCACAGAGTGTATGGCTCTGTGTCAAGATGCCTCCTGCAAAAGCCAGAAGGAACAGAGATTTGGGATGGAAAATGGCCCTGACCACATGTTGGGAAGAAGATACAGAGGCTGAGATTTGAGGTGGGATGGACTGGACAAAGGAAACAGCTCAGGGAGCAAGGGGAAAGACAAGGGGACCTAAATGCAAGTTGAAGAGGTTGGTCTGGGGCCAGACAGGCTGTGAGAAGGCAGGGAGGGAGAGGATGGGGGGGTGAAAGCTCACACTGGTGACAATCTGAAAAGGGAACTTGGACAGGGAAAATGAGAGCTTTGAACTGGTGGAGAAGAGCAGCAGGGAGGCTGGGAAAGTGGGACTGGCTGAGTAAGTAGTTGTGGTGGGGTAGAGCTCATGGTGGAAACAAAAGATTAGGCAAGACCTGGCTAAAAGGGGCATGAGGCTTGAGCTGTGGTAAGGGTGGAGAACCAGAAGCCAGAGGAGGGAATGCAGACTGAAATGGGAGAGCAAGGGTGGAACATAGGACCAGTACCTAGAGGAGGAATGTGGGGAGGCAGGCAGAGAGGGACAAGGCAGCAGGGAAGAAACTGCCAGTTGAAATAGGCAGAGGAGACTGTCCCTCTGCCATGTTCCCCTCCAGGACCCCTTGCTGTCTCTCTGCTGCAGGGGAACAAGGGACCAACGACCATAAAAGGGTCTCAAGTCCTCGGCCTGCCCTGAGGTGCACAGGGAGTGCTAACCTGAGGGGTGCTGTGCCCAACTGCCTTTATGCTCATGCCCACAGACCCCTCTTCTGCGGACTGACATGAGTCCAGGCAGGATGAGATGAGATAGGACCAGGTATGATGGACTAACCACAGCCGACACAGGCAACATATGTGGTGTGGGAGGAAAAGAGCCCCTCGCTGTACAATGAGCTGGAGCCAGCAGAGGGAGGTGCTGGAAGCCAACAAGGAGCAGGTGAGAAGTGCAGAGAGAAGGAGATATGGCTGGGGTGGGCAAGACACCAGGCCCTCAGACCTGAAACGAGGTGCTGGAGATGTGCTGGCCCATCAGAAGTGCCCCTTGGTGGGCCTGGGGACAGTGGGTCTGTGCCGCCAGGGCCCGGGCCCCTGCCCCCAGGCAGAGGGAGCGGTGCAGGCGGCAGTACCTTGCGCAGCCCGCTGAAGGGTATGTTGAGGGGCAGGGAGAAGAGGTTCTCCACCAGCTGTTCAAAAGTTTTGGCCAGGTCCTTGAACTGCTTCTCCTCCAGGCGGAGCCCCAGCAGAATCCGAGCTGCAATGCGGAAAGTTAATGTTTTAGCGGAGGAATAAACTGCGATGGAGCCCGGCTCCATGCACCAGCCCCGCAGCTCCCAGCTCACAACCTTCCGGATCCGTGGCAGGTAGCTCTCCAGGGCGGCGCGGCTGAACACTCTGGCCAGGATCTAGGGGGAGAAGGGGGGAAATAGAGGCAGGTGGTTAAAGTGTGTGTGTGGGTCCCATGTGCTGCCGAGGCTCAGGCCTGGGCAGGAGGTGTCACCTGGGCCGTGTGCCCTGTTGGGGCGGCTGCGAGGCTCACCTTGCGGCGCTGGCGGTGCAGGTCACCGATGGAGCCGAGCAGGGTGTGGGAGCCCAGGATGATCTGGGTGCTCTGGGGCCACTGCGTGCTGACCAGCGTGTGCTCGCCCAGCAG